GGGGGGGAAGGGGTGCGTGCAAGGGAATGGGCAGGCACGCACCGACTGGCCACATCGGTGCAAATCAGCACGCGGGCCTGCTTCGACCGGAAGCGGTTGAGCGCCACCAGACGCTCGCGCTGCGACATGGCCGAGTGCAGGCAAGCCGGCGGGGACTCGGTGAAGTCATCGGACCCGGTGGCCTGCGTGTCGGCATCCTCATCACCAACAGCGTAGTTCAGCGAAGCGCTCTTCTTGAGGGCCCCCTTGGAGGTGGCCTCCCGGAGATTGCGCTTCCGGCTGGCGGCCGCGGCCGGGCCCTTCAGCCGGGCCGACGAGGGGACCAAGTGGGCCGGCGGCTCGGCGAACAGCTGGCCCAGCATCAGTCGAAGCTTCTCGGCCGTACTGCCACAGCAGGGCAAGAGCCACGGTCCATCGGGAGGAGGAGGGGGGGGGGAGAGAGGCATATTAGGGGACAGACCGGGCGCAAGGGGAAAAGAAACACCAATCGCGCCAGGAAGGAAGGGGCAGGAGGAGGGGACAGGCGGGCGAGACGCACCGGCGGCGACCGACGAAAATGAGCACCGATTTCCCCTTCAGCACGCAGGCCACAATGTGGTACAGGTAGGCGTCCTTCACGGTGGACGGGATGAAGACATAACGCTGGTCCAGGCCGGGTGGGACAATGTGCCTGATCGAGCGAGATAGGCAGAGAGAGAGAGAGAGAGAGAGAGAGAGAGAGAGGGCGGGCGGGAGGAGGGCGGGGAATGGGGAAAGGGTGAGCTGGGCGCACAGCTGGGCGGGCAAAGGGCAGGCGCCAGGAAGCGCAGGGGGGGGGGGGGAAGGGGGCCGAGAGCGAGGGATGGAGCGAGGAAAGGAAGGAGGATGGCGCGCGTACTCGATGGTGCTCTGATGCAGGAAGGGGTCCGCCACAAGGGGCCCGCCGAAGGCCTTGATCATGGACTGGGCCAGGTCCGACATGCGGGACCCGGCCTCGGCCGTGTCACTGGCCGCCGAGAGGACCGCCTCAATGGCGGCCCCGGTCATGGTGGCCGAGAAGAGGAGCGTCTGCCGGCGGGCCTGGCCCAGGGCATTGACACGCGGGCCGAGGGCGCCAATGATGGTGGCCGTGTCACTGCCGGTGAAGCCGCCATTCAGGGACCCCGGGCCGTCCGGCGCCAACAGCGCGTCCACCTCATCCAGCACCAGGTATCGGACCTTGCGCAGGCCGGTCGGGCCGAAGGCATCCGGCGCGCTGCGCAGCACGTCCGCCAGCCGCCCCGGAGTGGCCACAATGACGTGCGGGCGCTGAGCAATGGCCTTGGTCTGATAAAGCATATCTGCGCGGGTGGAGAGGGTGTGGATGGGAGGGTGAGGGGGGGGGGGGGGGGAAAGGAGAAAGATCCGGGAGGTCGCATGTGTTTGGGCGGGCCTGGCCGCGCTGCGGCCCGGGATAAGGAGCCGCTGGTGGGCAGATTGCCGCCGCCGCCCCAAGGCCGACGCCCGGGGTGATGTTGCACTTTGGGCGGGCATTTTCCGTATACATGGCGCTCGGGCGGGGGGGCGGAGAGGGCGGATCAGTTTATCAGGTTGAGGGATCAACCGGGCAGGAGGAGAGCCGCGGTGAACGCACCGACACCGCCGACCACCGTCTCGCAGCGAAGACCGATGGTCTTGCCGAAGACAGCGAACTGCTCGGTGATTTGGTGAGCCAGCTCACTATGGGGGCATGATTGCATGTATGTGTGTGTGTGTGTGTGAGAGAGAGAGAGAGAGGGGGGGGGGAGAAAGAATGAAAGAGCCAAAGACAGGACGCCCGTGGGCGGACGGAGGTGCCAAAGAGGGGGCAGCAGGAAACGGCAGGAGCCGAGGGCCGGACACCGCCAGGGCGCACCGGGTGGGGGTCAGAACCAGAGCATACACGCCGTACGGGTCCTCGGAAAGGGTCTGCAGGATGGGCAGCGCGAAGGCGGCCGTCTTACCGGAACCGGTGGGCGCGCTGGCAACGCAATCGCGGCCTGTTTCGAACAAAGGCCGAGAAAGAGGGGGCGACGCAAAGGCGACAGGGGGTCAACCAACAAAGCTCCAGAAAAGCGGGGGGGGGAGGGGGGGCGGGGGGAGGGAGGGAGAGAGAGAGAGAGAGAGAATCGGACGAGAGACCGGCGAGGGACAGGGGGGGGAGGAGAAAGCCCGCATAAGGCAAGGGCGCACCCTTCAGAATGGCCGGGATGGAGGCAGCCTGCACGGGAGTGGGGGCACTAATGCCCACCCCGGCAAGGGCGGCCTGGAGCCAGGGCTTCACGCCGAGCTCGGCGAAAGAGGCCGGGGGCGGGGGCGCAGCATCGGTCGACATCGGGAGTAGGCGTGCCACGGGTCACGGTGAGAGGGAGACGCAGAGAGAAGGCCGGGGGCGGGGCGGGGGGGGGGGGGGGGGGGGGGGGGG